TGGTGCTTTGTTTCAATCCCAAATTTTTTAAACTGGTTAGCCCCAAAGATCTCAGTCAGTAGACTTCATATGGCCTGCTTTCCCTTGGAAGGAACCATCCAATAATACCAAGTTTCCTTCCGCTCAGTGCCACACCACCTAGATTCCTCACAGAGCCACAGGTCCACCACGCTCTCTCCTGCTGGGGCTACCCACCACCTACATCCCACTTGCCCCTGCCCTTCTCACAGTTGCCATCAAGCTCTTCCACTAGTTTTAGTTCAAAGGCTTCTCAGAAAGAGAGTTTCTTCCATCCTGGGCTAGACAGCGAGAGAGACATCGCTTATCCTGGAACTCCATTAACCACCTCTGAAAACAAGCAATAATTAGGCTCATGACCACCTCCCTACCACACAATATGCTCCCAGAGATCAAACTCACTCCGCTTTCCTTCAGCTCTGTGTCCTCAGAGCCCAGGAGGAAACATTTCCTAGAGGGGCTCAGTATTTAATGTCTGATGCTCTGAACCCATCACTCTTTCTCAAAGATTAACTCAAAAGGCAGACTAGAAAGCTAATGTGCCGAGATACGCGCAGCTCGTTTTTGCTTCAAATGATCAAATTGCGGTGATGAATAAAATACAAATTTAGGACTTCAAATGCTCTACTAAATTTCTAGTTGCTTTCTGCTATTTATTCTTAGCCAGTGAACACTATAAATTTATCACTCTATTAACAGTCATATAGGTCCCTCCCCGCCACCGCCCCAAAATGATAGCAAAAGCAGCTCTCCAACTCATACATCATTGAACAGAACAGTGAAAAGACATTTCATGATTGTGCCTATTGTTATAAGGAAAACTGTTACCCAACTTATGCCAGTGGAACAACTCCTTTAGTGCAGTAGTGGATAAATGAGCTGCCTTATACCGAGTTGAAAATCCTTTTAACTGCTAGGCTTTTATTTCCTGCCATCTTAAGAATTATTCAAAGTTTCAAGTTTTAATAAATTCAATGAAAAGCAAATTTAATAGTCTCTTCAAAGACATTTTGAGGAGGTGCTCAGTGATTTGACTGTGCTCAAAATTTACCTGGAAAAACTGTTCATAGCATTTATACTGTGATACATGAGAGTTAAAAAAAAAGTTTGATCATGATTAAGAGACAACATGAAAGAACTGCACATATCCTTCAATCAAATGGGCAACTCTGCCCATAGATGTCAGTTTTTCCTCATTCATTCAATATGTATTTACTGAGTCCCTGCTGATTACTGGAAGAGCTGTGCATACAGAGACAAATTTCTGCCCTCGGGGAGTTCAGCCATGTACAGCAAAAGCACTGAGCCCTTTGTTGTGGTCCTCCCAGGTGCTTTGGGAAGCAACCAGGCAGAGAGCCCAGAAGCAAACCTTGGAAACGCCTAGGGAACAGTTCTCCAATCCAATCGCCGTGAAATGGCCGTGAACTATCAAAGATGCTGTCCGCGAGCCCCAGCCATGCACAGACCACAAACTCACAGGGGCTCCAGTCAGATGCACATGATTTAAACAAAAAGTCACATACTGCCTCTAATTTTGATGTAAGCTTGATGTTAAGTACACAAAAACCACAATCACTACCATGTATTGTTTTCAAGACACCAAGAGCTGAAAGGGACAACTGAAGTCTCTGAAACTTTATAAGGTTCAATACAAATATTGACAGCAAGATAAAATATGAAATAGGCCAGACAAACACTGTTGACACTACTGCACCTATTCCAACCAGCTCTAATAAGGTCGCCCAAAAAGCTAACATTGCAATCACACACTAAAACCTTCAGTTTTGACTCTGTTAAAAAAAAAACTGGATGCAATGAGGTATACAAAAGAAAAGAAACTTTAGAAAACACTGTCCCTCCCTAAGCTCAACGTAACAATTTTAAAATTAAAATGAACCTCTTTCCAGTGTATGGGTTACATACTTAAATCTTTTAATGCTTTAAACCCAGTGCCCAGCCATCGAATAAGTAACACTATGCTAATATTGTGTCTTGACATAATACAACCTGATACAAATAAAATCTGTTTCCTAGGGGATACTAACAAAATGGGAATTAAACTGAACGAATATAGCTTTGGGTTCTCTGAAAGTAGGTGGCTGACTGAGCATAAATAAAACAAACTAACCCAAGGATGTGTTTCCATTTCACAAAATCATCACAAATAACTTTGAAAAAATGATGTTTATTTAGCCTTCAATGCCATGTATTAGATAAGGTACTAGGAGTTAGATAGCATATATAAAATCCCTATAAACTCTACTGCTATTATTCCAGTTTTAGAAAGAAAAACTAGGGCTGGTGTTAAATGAATGCCCCACAATCCCACATCTAGTCGAGGTGGCTTAGCTGGGAATTGAACTCAAGGTCTTTTAACTAACTCAGTGTGTGTAACACTGGCTGGACCTTCTGGAACAGTTCTTTTAATTGTGCGTTTTTCAAGGAAAAATGGAGAGCTTTCATTGGATTTTCAAAGCAGCTCATATCTTCCCTTTTCAAAAGGTTAAAAACCTCTGCACAACACCCAAAAAGGAAAGAGAGAACAAAAGGGAATGCCCTGCCACAGAGGCAGGGTGGCATGGGGGGCTGGGGGGCAGGAGGGACACTGGAATCCGTGGTGGTGGGAAATGGGTGAAGGGATGGGTATTTGATCATTGTATAATTGAAACCCAAGCACGAAAATTTGTAAGTCTACAACTGTACCTCATGGTGTCTCACTAATAAAAATTAAAAAAACAAAACAAAACCAAAAAAAACCTCTGCACTATATTGTACTATCACTGGTGTAAGAAACAGAAAATGGGCATTGGACTTCACCCCCTTCCACCAAGACCAAAACTTACTCCTGAGCAGAGGGTGGAGGCACAAATCACCCACCGTTGTTTTATTATTATTATTACTATTATTCCCCTCTCGGAGAGCCTGGCAAGCTACCGAGAGTATTCGATATGCCAAACACAGTAACAACAAAGTCTCCAATGGAGACGTTACTGGGCCCGCTCGAGCAAATCGACGATCAACGGGAGGGCCTTTACCTTACCTTACCTTACTATTATTATTTTGCTTTAAAATTCTCAAAGCAAGTCAAGATTCCCCCTCCTGGACAATCTCCAGCATCCACTGCCACAGGTTAAGTTACACAATAAATTGCAATACTGTATCCATTTACATCCAATTCTGAGATTTCACAAATACTGACCAAGTTATTTAGTCATTCCACTTTCCAAAATGGGTTTCAATCACCCAAGCCTCACCGCATTGCCTGTGAAATAAGCTATCATTATATCCACTTCCAAGAAAGTAAAACACTGTCACCCCAAGGCCAGGCAATAAATCAGTTACGGAATCAGGGTCAGAAGTGAGAACTTCCAGACATGCTCTGCCTGGGATCTGCAACACCATGCCATGCCCACAGCGTGCCCTCCAAACCTCATAGGAAACGTGAATAACTAAGGCTGCCATCTCCTTTACCAAGACAGCACCAAGTTAAACCCCAGAGGTCTAGAGATGGCACTCCCCAGCAACCTTGACAACACAATCACCTCTGAAAGTTGAGGTCGTGAGGCAAATGTCTGATACATGCATGCCTGGTATCCAAAAGAAGATGCCCCCATGGACAGTCATTGGGTCCAGAGTTTGCTCTTGTAACTCTGATGCTCTTAGCACTAGCCTTAACTCTCAACGCCAAAGTCAGAAGCCATTCTAAACTCCTGGATCAGAAAAAAGGGAGTACTGGTGTGAAAGTGCACTCTACTTTGAACTTGACCAAAATTTAAGCCCCTCATTTTACTGAAGGTTAAAATGAACCTCAGGGGACCACTCAAAGTTTCACAGCTCTGGTGCAGGGGCAGTGCTGAAAGCTGGTCTCCCAGACACCTGAATGTATGGAAACCTTCCATCCTCTGGGGGCAACGGGGAATGGGTCATGGTTACTGGCAGGATAGTGTCCAGGGACCAGTAAGGTTGGCTCTATTCTATTAGACTCTTTTCAGCTTGGACTTCCAGTGGGGTCTGCAGAAGCTACAGTCTCACCTGCTTCCTATAAGCTGGGACAAAGACGTTCATGCCCTCACTGAGGCTAACCCGTTCATCCGAGATGAGGAAACTAATATTCTGGCTCTGAGCAATTAATTTCCTACTGCGGCTCGGTAAGGGTGATGGTTCATGGAAGCCTCTCCACCATCAGCAAAGCCCAAAGCAAACGCTCTTTAAAGACAGGAAGAATCTCGTGCTGTCCTGTCCCTAACTGAGTTCCAAAGGCTGAAAACCGCTAGGGGAAGTGGGCGGGAGAAGACCAAAATCATACAACTCCTCCGTGTGTCTGAATGCGCCGCTCGCGTTTTGGACAACGACCATGCCAGCACACTGAAATGGGCAACGGGTCCCGAGGCAGGCTGAGGAGAGCGCATCTGGGCGCCGGGCCCAAGTCAGAATGGGACCCGCAAGCGCGCGCCTCGGAGTGGGGACCAGCCCCATCCCTCCGTCCGCGGGACATTCCCCAGAGGGCCGGCGCTATGGAAACCCCCCAGCGCCACTCGCCAGTCCCCCAGGACTAACACCCCCTACCCCCCGCGGACATCCGGCCCCTCATCACACGTCCCAGCCGCCCGGCCCGCGTTTGGGGCAGCAAGCACCACTTCTGAGACCGAGATCTGAGTTGTGGGAGGGAACGTCCAGCTCACCTCCGTGTGCGGGCAGACGGGATGGAGTTTGCTGCTTGTACATTTTAAAAGCACAACCATCAGGCGGCTCGTCTGTGTGCACCCAGCGCGCGCTCACGCCGCCCACACACACACACGCACACACACACACTCACTCACGCGCGCACACACACACGCGCGCCACGAGGGAAGTCGGTGACCCACGGGGAGGTCCCGAACTGTCATTCCCCTCGCACGCGGGGAGAAGAGCTCGTGGGGGGTCGCAAGGAGTGGGGACTCGGAAGGGGTGCGGGGGGCGGAGTGGGAAGACACCGGGCCCACCTCCTCGTCCTGCTCCTCCTGGGACGCGCTGCTGTCCAGGGGCGCGGGCGGCACGACTCCTCCGGGGCGCGGCGGCGCGGGGGTTCCACGCTCCAGCACCGCGCGCGCCGGGGTCCCCGCGGCGGGCAGCCGGGCACTCGGGGCGCCGCCCGGCGGCGGCGGCGGCGGCGGCTCCCGGGAGGAGCCTCCGGGCTCCCCTTCCTCCGACAGAGTTTCTGAGCCCGAGGAGGACTCGGCCGAAGACGCGTCCGGCGAAGACGCGGCGGCCGCCGCAGAGGCTGGAGTCCGGGCGCCGTGGCCGCTGCAGCCGCGCGGCACCGGCTCCCGCGCCTCGGAAACTTTCTCCCCCATCGTCCCCCTCGACGGGCCCCGGCGCGGCCGAGGGTCGCCACGCGCACTCGGCGCCTCCCGAGAAGCCGCGAGCTGCTCGGCGCTGCTGCCGCCGCTCCCGGGCAGCGGCCGAGCCGACCGGCCACCCCTACAGGGGCGCGGCGCCGCCGCCGCCCGCGCCCAGCGCCAAGTTCCCCGCCGCGGGGCCCTGACGGCCGGCGGGGGCTGCCGCACACCGAGACATGCCGCGCCGGCTCCGCGCTCCGCGCTCCCCGGGCGCCCGCGCCGCGCTCCAGCCGCGGGGACTGCGGCTTCTCCGGCACAACCTGCCTCGGGGACCGAGCGGGGCGGCGGAGGAGACGGGCAGCCCCGGGAGCCAATGGCAGGGCCGGGGCGCCGGTGGGCGGAGGCTGCGGCGCCCCGGGCCGCGCGGGCGTCAGGTGGGGAAGGCGGGGCGTGGGGGGCCCGCTGCGCCCGCCCGGGCGCGCCGACACCGCCACCCCGGGCGCCCCTCCGTCCCCGGAGCGTGCGGGCCCCGGCCGAATCGGAGCCCCCGGGCGCCGGCCTTTTCCCGCCCCCACCTCAGAGGAGGAGAGGCTAGCGGTGCCCGAGGAGGTGTCCGAGCCGGGCGGCGATGCCCCGGGAAGAACCGGACGGCTGAGTGCAAAAGTGGACTCGAGGAAACTAACCAGAAGTCAGAGCCTTTGAGGCGCCGAGGAAACGCGCGCGCGCACAGTCAGGCAGAAACACGCGCGCTCACCTCACCCGACCAGTGTGCCGGGGGAAAGGCAGCAACTTGGTGGGGTAGGGATTCCCGGTCCTCCGATGGATGTCATTTTTATCAACTAGCTGGAACGGGGGGCGTGATGCCTGCCTGGCTAGCTCTGAGCACAAGGGTAGCAAATATATTTATTCCAAGCTTCAGAAGAACGCCTCTAACTAGAATACCTGGAGAATTTTCCCAAGACTAGGCTCTGCCTTTACGACTGTTTAGCAACTGAGAAGTAAAAAGATTTGTCGCTTTCAAAAGTGAGGAAAATATTAAACGATTTCCCTTTAATGAGGACCAAGAAGGCGCCCAGCACCGTGTAAGATGCTAGACCAAGCACAATGGGAAAGGGCTCTGACCCTACTTAAGCACTGGAGATTCGAATGCCTCTCCACATCAGCTAAGCAGAGGATGAAAGAGTTCACATTTCCAGTTTACTTTCCCTCATCCCTGGTTTGAGAACCAGCAAGATACAGGACTTGGTGCTTGATTTTCCACCCACCCCCCTTCTATAAGATCTAAGCAAAAGAACTTTCAGCAAAGGCATTCAGTTGAATAACATTAAGGCCCTTAGCAGAGACCCAGGAGTCAGTTCTCAGGTCCACCAGGTACCTTGAATTTCTCAGATGCCAGCACTCTGATCAATGGGGGGAAATAAATGATTCCTCACTTGACTTCCACTCTAGTCCTATTCTGAGCTGCAACACTGTGACCTGGGATATCAATTCTACCAGATTCAATTTCACAGACATTGACTGAGATGTATGTCAGGGCTGTGGAGGGGATACTGAGATGAATAAGGCTGGCCCCCTGCCCTTGAGGAGCTTATGGTCAAACAAGAGATAGATATTGCATAATAGAACACCATTATTAATTTTTTAAAACTGCAGTAGGGCTGCAGGGAATAATACCCAGGGAAGAAGAGAGAGCAAAGGGGGAAAGCCCTCAAGCCCAGGAGACCACACAAATCAAAGATTTTTCTTTGCCAGAACAGTTTTGTCAAGAACTGTCTTTAAGAACTCAAGGACTCAAGTGGAAAGCCCCTTCAACTAATGAGCCCTTTTATGCTATCACAGTATTTACAAGTGATACATCCTACCAAGTGCTTCATCACTTTGGACAGCGAGCTTTGTCCTGGTCTGTTTCCTTCCTCCGTGAGGAAGGGGAAAGAGCTCTATGACTGTTGCCACAGCCAGTCCTGCTGCTCCAAGGCCTCTGGCTGGCAGCCTTGCATTGTGACACTTGAGAATTATCTGCAGGGCTGGGAAGACCCGCTGAGGCAAAAGGACAATTTAAGTGACTTGGGCTAAGCAGTGAGAGCAAGGCTGAAGAGAGCACAGTGGGGCGGTCTGAATCCACCCCTGAGCCCCACAATTGCTTTTCTGGTCTGGAGTATTAGTCTTTATCTGAGCCCCTATGTGGTTGATTCGCCACAGCCAAAGTGAAGTGAGGACTTAAGCAAGCCATTCACATGAAAGACAGAGGGGCTGCTTTTCAGCAAGTTGGGAAAGAAGCTTCAATGGCATGATGTGAATTACTAATAGCAAGAATGGTGAGAGCTGCTATGGCCCCAACCCGAAGTGCTGCCTAGAGGCATGATCTCATTTTATCTCAGCGACAGAGCCTTGTGCGATAGTCTTAGTCCCACTTTGTAGATAAAGAAATTGAGGATCCACAAGGTCAAATGACTTGTTGAAGGGCATGGAGCAAGTAAGTGGTAAACTTGGAGCCCATCAGCCTGTTTGGGGGCACCCTTTCTTGGCCGTCAGGAATAAAACTACGCAGATAAGATAACATATGATATGTTAGATATTCAGAGGCCAGAGAGATAGTATATTGGGTATGATCCAACTTTCAATTACCCCTCCTCATCGCCCCCCACCCCACTGCAAGCTGAGCAGAGAGCCGGGAGTTAGCCCCAAGCACAGCTTAGCGTGTCTCCAAAACAAAAATAGTTATAAGGCAAAGACTTTATTGTCTTGAATCAATGTGTGAAAGGAATTTTCTCAAGAAGGGTACTAAGAGCCAGAGAGATAAGAGATAGTACAGTGGATAGGTACTTGCCTTACATGTATTTCACGCTCGTTTCATCCCCACACTGAATGGCCCCCCAAACTCTGCCAAAAGTGAACTCTGAGCACAGAGTCAGGAGTTAAGAAGTTAGGAGTAGACCTGAACACCACCAAGTGTGGCCAAAATATATTTCATTAACAGCTTTGTGAATCATAGTCAATTAAAAAAAACAGAAAACTTGCAGAACATTTCAACACCCCCACCCCCCCCCCCCCCACACACACACGTACATGCACACACAGACAATTATTTCTATGTCATTTACTATGAGACAGGCAAGGATTTAAGTATTTTACAAATGTTGATTGTTAGTTTTCTTTTTTTGGCAGGGTGGAGGTCTTTCAAGCAGTGCTCTAAAGGCCCCAGGGCCCCTGCCAGAGATACTTAGTCATGCAGGCTGGTGTTGTGTTGTGCCGGTCTGAGAGTGCTGCTTGAGCAATGTGGCACTGGGGATTACTCAGGCCACCCCAGCAAAGCCAAATGAGCCACACCCAGTGGTGCTGGGAGACCAGGGTGAAGGGCCTCCAGGACTTGAACTGGAGTCTGCCACATACAATATATGTGTCTTAATCCCTATACTCTCTCTCTCTCTCTCTCTCTCCCTCTCTCTCCCTCTCCCTCCCTCCCTCTCTCCCTCTCTCTCTGTCCCTCTGTGTGTGTGTCCTACATGTTAATTTTTTTTAAAAAAAATTATCGAATCACTGTGAGATACACAGTTACAAAGTAGTTTGTGGTTGGGTTTCATTCATACAATTTCCAACAATTACCTGCCCCTTCACCAGTGTATATTCCCCACCATCAATAACCCCAGTTTTCCTTCCTGTGTTCCCCCCACCTCCATCCTAGCCTGTCTCTATGGCAGCAGGCACTCCCACCAACAATGAATGAGACTCCCTTTCTTCCTGCATCCACACTAGCACTGATTATTCTTATTCTTTTTGATGCATGCCAGTTCTGTGGTGTTTACCCAATAACAATCTGATAAGGGGTTACTATCAAAGATATAAATGGTAGAACTGGTAGAACTTTACAAGAAAAAATATCCAACCCATTAAAAAATGGGGAGAACAAATGAACAGAAACTTCCTCAAAGTAGAAGTACAAATGGCCAAAAGGCACATAAAAAATACTCTTGGGCTAATATCAGGGAGATGCAAATCAAAACAACAATGAGATATCATCTTTCCACAGAGACTGGCATGTATCAGAATGTTAATTTTCTTAATCCTCATGTCAACTTGATAGGTAGCCACTATCATATTTTTCATATATGATTATATATAATTTGTCCCTCTGCCAGTACCTTCATGTGTGCGGAGAGTGGTCTCAGCATGGTGGTGGCTGGTCCTGGATAAAATCCAGATCCCGGACGAGAGCAGTGCAGTCTTCTGCCCCCACGCCTGGGTGTTCCTTCCCGGGGCCCCTTGGAGGGGAGCGGGTTGAGCTTTCCTCCCCGCCCCAACCGGGGCTCCGGCAGCCGAAGACCTCCAGGACCAGCCACCACCATGCTGAGACCACTCTCCGCACACATAAAGGTACTGGCAGAGGGACAAAGCCATGCGGGTTCCGGGGCCGAGACCTCTAAGCCTACTCGAATTGGAGTCGAGCATCTTCCACCCAGATCCTCCAAATTCCAGTAGGCGGGGGTCACACCCACCACCTGGCCCCCTGGCGCCGTGTAATCCCATCAGCGGCCAAGACTCAGAGACTAGGCCCCCTCTCCGGTAGTCACGCGGCACTCCTCTCTTCTCAAACCCAGGTCAGCCCTGCCCCTGGTGTGTGGCCCCGGGACTTCCATCTCTCCCTTCGGGACCTCAGGCATCCTGGCAGACGCCTGGAGAAATGCAGCCGTGAGCGGCTGCCGCCCCCTCTCCGGTAGTCACGCGGCACTCCTCTCTTCTCAAACCCAGGTCAGCCCTGCCCCTGGTGTGTGGCCCCGGGACTTCCATCTCTCCCTTCGGGACCTCAGGCATCCCGGCAGACGCCTGGAGAAACGCAGCCGTGAGCGGCTGCCGTCCCCTCTTCACTACTCATGCGGCGCTCATCTCATCTCAAACCCAGTTTTCCGTAGAGGTGTGGCCTCTTCAGAAGTGGGCGTGGCTTCAGAGTGGGCGTGGCTTCATAGTGGGCGTGGCCTGTTTTCCGGCCAGCGGCCGCCTAAGCGGCCGCAGGTTGTTTACTAATTCAAACAAACCTAGTTCCCAAGGAATTTAGTCCCCAACTTACTCAGCAATATGAAGAAACAAAGAAAATCCCCACCTCAAGTGGAGAACAAAAACAATCCAGAATTTTCTGTCGATACAGCTCACCTAAGGGATCTCTCTGACACAGAATTCAGATATGAAGTCATCAAGATGTTAAATCAACTCAATGAAACAGTCAGACAGACAGCCAGTAACACCACAGAAAAAATCGACAAATTACGCGAAGAAATGAGAGCAGAAATGTCACG